AATCAAAAACGTGGGAAAAATAAATTCTCTACAAATGTGTACTTAACCATTTTTTACGAAAGATTGAAAGATTGCAAAATAAGCTTGCAAATCGCAAAATCCCAAAAAATACCCAAAATCCAATCTGGGGAAATATTTCCAATTGAAATTTAGTGGCAAGACTCTGGATCCATGGTCTATGTATCAAATAAAAGTAAACTGCATCAAAAGTTCGCTACTACAATTTAGTTTCTTCGTACCAATTTGATCTAAATTTAAAAATTTAACATCTCGAATCCTAGAAAATTGTAATTTTACGTGGAAAAAGCCTTAATATCATTTAAAAGTTGGGGAGGTTTAAAAATATTGTGTAAAAATATTGTGTATTGTAGTTCAATTGAAATATATTAAATTTCCCACCCACTTATAGGCAATTTAGACCACTTTGTGAAAAATTGCATGGAAATGCTGAACTTTGTTGTCCGATTTGAAAAATTTTTCGCAGGACACGTTTTTATGACCAAAGAAACATTTCTAGGATAGTCTGGCTTTAGTTAATTAATTAATTAATTGAAAGTTTTTCACTAAAATAAAAGAACTCCTGGTACTATGTGTACCCGTTGTACACCCCGCGACAAAAGTATTCGGTCCAACAAAAGCCATGTAAGTCCAAATTTTTAACTTTGTAAATTAAAAAATTATTAAAAAATTCAACAAAGTAGCACAACGAAAATTTTCTAGTTTGAAGTGTCTATAAATACCGTTACTTTTTGCTGACGGTGTCACACATTTTCTTCTATACAAAGTTACTATGTTCGACAGTTGTCAAAAATCAACGCGAATTCTTAGCCTCTTAAAACTTGCACTTTTTCCTGTATCTAGAATTTAATTTGTGAAAAGTTTGTTGTTGTTGTGAAACTTTTTTTAAATTTGTCTACAAAGTTTGAAATGTTGATAAAGAAATACGAAATACGAAAATGTCGTGGCCCCATTTTTTCGCATGACTGTATATATGTATACCGCACGTTTAAAAATATATAACGAAGTATTTCAAAATTTCAATTTTTTGGAAAAAAGCAATCAAAGTTTTATCAATTCACAAACAGTTAGTATACAAAAAGACAGATGGAAAGACATATATCTTCGCCATATTTAGGGAGTTTGGTGATCTGTAAGACTGAATATATTCTACTTATGTATGTAGCTTATTAATTGCATTATAATTATATTAATCATTAATTATTGAAATCTCCGAAAACATAAATTTTGAGTTTCATCTCTATATTATTAAACGTGCGATATATGCATTTTAAAAACGAGTTTCCACGAACGATTCGCTGTTAGCTTATATAGGTTTTATCAAAAAAAAAAAAAAAAAAAAAATGTTTTTTTTTCGCATAAATGCAGTAAATAGCCGTATCCACTTTTGGAACCCCTAAAAAAGTATAACGCCGAAGCGATTTTCTAGGCGATTCAGCACTGGTGCAGAAAAATCGCCCTTGTAAATGGTGATTCAAAAATCGCTTTTCGCAAAGTAGACAGACAGCAAGTCAACTTTTGCAAGCGTTTATCGCCTGTCAAAAAATCGCCTCATGTAAGCAGCTGCAGCTTTAGACATATGTACGTAGCCAAAGACAGGAAATAATGTTACTCATACGCCATGTACCCATATCTACGCGTTTGATCAAACTTCATAAGAAAAAAAAAATAACAATTGATTACGCGAAAGTCATTAATCGGACCTTTCACTGAATAAATTTTCCCTTTATAAAACATATTTCTTCTACTGTAATACCATGTACCGTTGCGGTAATTTCCAATAGTTTTTAAATGGTTAAATATATCTTCTGTCAAATTGAGAGACAGCGCATTTCATTATTTTAATCAGTATGACTTTCAGAGCTAGACGATACAATTTTTTTTTTAATCTGCTAGGGAATAATTTCGACCTCAAGTGCCAGATTGACTGCTCTATAAATGATATATGTTTGAAACATACGCACGCACGACTATATATGTATGTACATACAATACATATTTAATTAAATAAAATATGTATATAAAAATAAGTGTCCGGACAAGTTAGAAACAATGTAGCATTTTTTTATCATAACTAAATATGGAGTACATCTATATATAGTTAAACTCATACAAAACAAGCAATTCATTTATATATAGTATGTATGTACTATATATTCAAATAAATAATATAATTAATGAAAGTGCATCTACTATTTCAGAACAAGTGAATGCATATATATGTAAGTGGATTGCGGATTAAGCTGCTACGTGCTGCTGTGGGTTGGTGCCTCCTCTTTTCGTTTTGTTTGATTGTTTGCTTGATTGTTTTTAAATTGATTTGCATGTTAAGTTGTTTGACTGATTTGTGAGTTAATAGCTAAATTGATTGATTGTACATACATATGCTAAGCTACACCCGTAATAGCAACAACAACAATATATGATCAGAAAACAAATGCGCTGTGGATAAAATTAACTCAAAAACAAAAGGGTAAACATGAAAGAAAGTAGCAATAGTTGCAAAAATGCAAAAGCATTCATAAATATATGTAAAATTTACAATTGCTACATATATATGTATGTATGTATGTGCATGAGAATGCATATACAAAATATGTACATATGTATGTAAAATAATAAGTAGACAGCAAGAGATTCTTGAACCGGCGTTGATAGCGAACATGGAAAATCATCACCAGAGCAACCAGCAATGAAATACATACACAGTTACAAATTACAACATTCAATTAAACCTAGGCAAAGCGGCTTAAAGGGTTTAAAGCATTTATTTTAAAGAAGGAACGTGTGTGTATGTATGGTATTTATGTATGTAGTATGCATGTAATGCTCGATTTATAGCTGGCTAATATGCTATGTTATGTTTGCATTGCAGCATACACTTAATTTATAGTTTATAGCTTTGTAGATATGCGTTGGTGTATTTGACTGCTTTTTTGTTTAATGTTTTTAACTGCTTTGATATCTATTATATATGTATATATGTATGTGTATTGTATATGTACAAGTGTTATATGAGCATACATATATGTATGCATGTATGTGTATGTGTGTATGTAGTAGATGTCTTTTGTTTGCGAAATCTTTTCTAAACTCAACAAGATCGCTTTTCTTTACTGACGATTGTTTGCTTATAGTTTGAAAAAAAACGAGTACAAATGCAATAACGAGTACGAGTACGAGTAGGAATACCGAGTATGTAGTTGTTGTTGTTGCTGCATGTGAACACATACCTTGACATTGATAGCCTTGTTTACCAATTCCCCTGCAAAGGCAAAAAATTTCCGTAGCTTGTATATATGTGAATATAGGATTAATATTAAGTGATGATGTACAAAAATTAACTGATAAACTGATCAAATAGATATGTATGTATTTATGTGAGCCATAAACGTAAATTATATGTAGTAGTACTAAACCGCTAGTGAAATGGACCATTTTGACAAAAAATATTCAATCATACTCTATACATAAATATTTTTCGTTTTATTTGAAAAAAAAAAAAAATGGCCCAGCATTATTCAAAGGAGAAAGCAGAATATGAATAATATTTCGTCGGAAGCGCAAATCAGCACAAAGTGAATTTAGCAATAGTTTTTTGTAATTTTGTTTATCCAGCGCCAAACTACACCCAAATAAATAATAAAAATACTTATATGTATGTTTGTATGCATGTACATGTCTATGTTCGCACCAAACAAATATAACATAAAACATTTAATATTTATGTATATATATGTATGTATGTAGATAAGTATTCTTTGTACCAAATAAATTTAAAATTAAACTTTGAAATAATTACCTAATTTTACCCAAAAAAAAAAAAAATCCATTCTAATTGGCTAAATAGTTGTGAAAACAAGAAAATTCAATAAGAACAGGAAGTGTAATGTGACCAAATTATACTGCGATAACCAAATGGTGAAAAGGATAGTAACTAAATACAGTTATTCACTGTTATGAGCGTATAAATTAAGAATATATTTTAATATGATTATGGTAAATAGCAGGTTTATGGTAAGGATGATTTTATACCTCCAACGCCACAGCGATTTGTCGCATGCGTTGACTTTTCTGTGGCAAATATGCGCCATGTACTTACCAAATAAATTTTTGGCAATGTGAACAAAAAGTCGGCTGTCGCAAGAAAGTCGCCATAAACTTGTGTCCGTTTACCTGTTAAGAGAGCAAATAAATAATGTTTTTTACTATCTATGTATTTACGTATGTATTTATGTATGATTTTTTATATTAAAGGTTGACACATTTGCAGATGACTGCAAATTGCAAATACCTCCAAAAATTTAGTTTTTTTATTAATTTTTTTTTTAATCACCTCAGATGACCAAACAGTTTAAGCTTAAAAAATTTACATACAAATATTAAAAAAAAATTGTCTACGGTATCGTAATAATGCGATTCTCGATGCTGTTTTTGAACTTTTTTCAAAGACTGGTTTAAGAAAAACTTGAATAACTCAGCCAAAACCTTACCAATTTAGACTTCCGAGGTATAATTGGTAAGGTATTTTCTCACCTTTTTAATTTCTTTGCGGATAAGCTCATTCAAAGTATGAAAGAGGAAGGTAAGATAAACGGGTGTCATTCCATGTTGAATTAAGATGTGTTGGTATTTGATAAAGAAAAAGTTGGGACGTGAGTTTTTTTGCAAAGAAATAAAAAATGTGAGAAAATACATTTCCACTGATACCTCATAAGTCTATATCGGTAAACTTTTGGAGCAGTTATACAATTTTTTTCTTACTCAACTCTTTGAAAAAATTAAAAAAAAAAAACAGCATCAAAACTCTCGTTATTATGATTCCGTTGTTACAAAATTTTAATATTTTTATGTAGATTTTTTATTTTTTTTATTCAAAAAAAACTGCAATTTTAGAGGTATTTTCAAACCGGTCTAGCTCACTTAAATCTTAATACTTTCCGAAATATTTTGGTAGAAGTCTTAAAATATAATAGGCCAGAAGCCCACAACTTTTTTTGGTGATGCAGTCTAATGTAGTACATAAGTGTCAGCAAAATTTTCGAAAGTGCCAAAAATGTTTTTTTCCCTTTTAAACCCTTAAAACCTTAAATCCGTACTATTTGCAAAATAATGATCCATATGTATGAATATATATTTCGTTCTACACATATAAAAAAATAACACGGATTTCGAAATACATAAATGGGTTAGAAGTAATGAAAACAAAAGATAGTACCGCTAGCTTAGAGTGAAAAGTTGCTAAGTCCACTTTTTATGAAAACTAATATTTTGATACAGGAGGCTAGAGAAATTAAAAAACCATCATTTCGAAAAGATTAAAGGTCCTTATTTTAAATTTTCTCGCTTATATTTAATGTAAGGGAAATTTGCCAAGTCCAAAAAAAAACCCGAAAATTCAATAAGGCCAAATAGTACCTACGAAATCTTTTCATATAGATCGAATCCCTCTGATTCGTATGGAGTTTTGCTTTGCTTTAAACAGGCAAAATGTTGTATTAAAAGTTTTGAGAAATACTTGGAGAAAATGGCTATAAGAAGTTTTAGTTTTTTTCCTCTGCTGTAAAATTTTTAAATCGGGCAACTTTTCACTCTAAGCTAGGGATATGTTTTTATTTGGCATACGCAATGATTTCTAACCTGATGCACACGCCGGCGCATGGCACCGCGACGGCGATTGAAACCAGCGCGCTCTTTGAATTCTTTATTTTGGGTAACCGCTTCCACCACTTCAGCAACATCCTTATTGGAATCTACATATATCAAGAAAAAGTTTATCAATGGGTATGTGCGCTTCCAAAAAAAAAAAAAAAAAAAAAGACCTAAAAAATTACATACCAACTCGATTTTTTAATTCGATTATAATATGTAGTTTACCCTGTGGCTCCAAATTCACCTGCAATGCGAATTCGATTTAGTTCTGTTTTTTTTTTTTTTTTTAATATCAAAATTTTTGCTTACCCATAAATCAAGTACACCCGTTTCATTTTGCATAATATCTTCAAAAGGTATTTGACAATTGGCAACAAAATCATCCGGTGGCAGCGCTGCGTCGTGAAATACCGTCAAATTAATATTTTTTGCATTGGTAACATCGTGAACGAATTGCTCATTCCAAACTGGATCGAATGTCTTGGGTCGCGTTGTAGAGCGATCTAAAAAAAGTTGTATTTTTAAAGTGAAAATTAATGTATGAAACATAAGTACATATGTATATACATACATACATATATATATACATATATGTTCATGTATGTAGTTGTCCCCAAAATTATTTTTCTTTTGTTTCTTTGATGCTTATTAATTTTTTATAGTAGCATAGCTCATTATCTAACAAAAACCACATAAATCCGAACTTGAAACTTTGTACCAACATTCACAAAACTGTCTAAATTTTTATTCAGAATTTTTAGAACAATTTGACATTCATTAATTTTGACGTATTTTCTTCTATATTTGTTTTTTTTTTTTATATAGAAGAAAATGCCTAGCACCGTTAATAAATCAAATTCCAAATGCAATGTTAATAACTTCAAGTTTGCACTTTATTGTACTAAAGTAGAATAGGCAATAAAACTTTTGGTAAAAATTTCGAATTTTTTTAATTTTTGTACAAAATTTTAAATTCGTATTTATGGGATTTTTGCTAGATAATACTTTTATAAAAATTATTACATATTAAACAAATAAAAGATTTACATTCAAAACTTCCTAAATATCGCACTCCCTTTAATTTGTTGACAAATGTACATAATAAAAATATATATTTTTTTTTTATTAATAAGAATATTTTGGCCAGCTTTTCCTGCAATTTGTGCTGTGCGTCTTGATGTTATTACACAAAATGGAGGACCTACAGTTTTATGTCGCCTCCTATTTTTTGATGTTGGGCCGCATCGGGCTTGAACCCAGGCCCTTCGGTATGGTAGCGCGCACTGCTAACCACTACACCCCAGTGACCAAGTGTGTTCGATATAAATTAATGTATTAATTGCCTTAAAAAATTCGTTTAAAAGCAATCTTAACGAAAATATCACGATGGAAAGAAATATCGCGTGCGACAGTGATTAAAATTAAATTAAAAAAAAGAAAAATACATAAATCATTTTTGGGTAATATCAAAACCATTTTAAAGAGACATCAATGCAGAACGTTCTATAGTCACATTGAAAGGTTTCACTGAAATCGGCGTTTGAATTGTTGGCCGCGAAAACCACTTCTGTTTTTTTTTATCCCGTGCGAATGCCTTAGTTTTTGCAATTAACTTGAAAACGAAAAATTGCCCAAATTCAAAATTGGCACCTAATTAAGAGCTATAAGTTAAGCCTATTGTAAAAAAAAAAACAAAGTTTTAGATTACGTTCGATGGTCATCTTCGACATTATGGAAATGCCCGTTTGTAGCAAAGATCAACACAGATGACAAAATTAATATCGAGGGCTTATGTATATTCAATACCCTCTATCTGGACTTTTCACAAAAGTCAGATTCTGATATAAAAATCCACCTAAGACTTAACTGTGTGGTTTTTGGTACAAACTAATACCAACAAGTATTTTATCGTTGGTTGTTTGTTAAAAAATGAAAATTATCATTGAACGTCGACCTTTCAATAAGTTAACATTAAATATTTTAACTATTGCAGCAGTTGCGGTACATTTCTTCAGATTAAAAAAATTATTAAAAAATCGGTCACTATTCGTACGCAAATTGAAAATTTTAACACTAAAAGATACCGATAAATTGTGCTTACCAAAATGATTATCGTCGACATCGATCGATATGTAAGGATCGATCGGCTGTTCGTCGGCCAACTTTCCGAATGTCAAATTGTGGCGCTTTTGAAAATCGGTTGGTCGTAGCCCGATTGCCTCACAAACTTTTATTTGTAATTTTCCCGTAAACATTGTGTAGATCAAATTTATTAAAAGCGTTTCAAATGGAAAGGATACCACTGCAAAGGTTGTGCACAATGAACGAGCTTAGGAACGATATTTAAACGGAAGTTGTGGGATCGCACTAATCGTTGGCAGATGTCGCGTTTGCAGTTTCACAAAATGTTTCGAAAAGTATATCCTGTGTACACGAAATAAATGGATTATATATGTAAATACAGTGCTTATGTAGATATGTATGTATGTATGTGTAAACCGGAACTCACAATTGAAGACCAATTCAAAAGGTGATAATGAAACGGAAATCCTCTCGAGTTGCGCGCACAGTAACACACACACACACACACACACGCACACGCACAATTTTACTCTGCTGCTGCTGTAGAGAAACGGTGGGGCGCGCGTGCGCCTTTTTTAAAACACGATCACTGATAATTTAACGAATGCAAGCGTTTACGTTATTTTTTAAATATTTTTTTTTAGATATTTTTTTGGGTGGATTCAATTGTAAATATTCGTTTTTTTCTGCGGTATTGATATTAAAATAATTTATTAACCATACATGCATACTATATTGCACAGTATTTTTATTTTTTTTGTGTTAAATACACATACATATATGTATATGAATTTCTTGTTTGCTGCTTCCACTTTGTGTACTTTTTCGCATTCACTTTCGCCTTCAAGTGGCAAATGAATCCAATTCATAAAAATTATTCTGTTTCAATTGTGTGCGTGTGTGTGTAATTCACCTAATTACACTTTTATGTTTGTGCCTCTGCTGTTGTCGATACTGCCGTTGCCGTTGATGCTGCTTTCGTTCGTCGTTTGTGCGATTGTTGCGCACTTTGCCCATTTAATGTCAATTCAAGTTCGCCGTCGCAACACTTTTATCGTATTGTGCGTTACATTTACATACATACTATGTGCATTATGATTTTTGTTTCTTGTATTCGCGAAAGAGATTTATGCTATTTTTCTACTCCTGCTGCTGCTTATTAAATCATAATGTTGCAGGTTCTTTTTGGTTGCCACTTTAGGTTCTGTTGTTCAGGATTTTGCTTATTTGTAACTGCAGCTCTAGTTAATAAGAATCTACATACTACATAGTATGTATGTGTATGTACATATGTATGTATAGAAAATAGACAAGTTGATACATACATACATACATACATATGTATGTATATCCTTGAATTTATATTTATGCAATTACACTAAAAAATTTTATTTTCTTAAAAACAAAAACATTGTGACAGTGTTGCAACTGTTTTTCGTCAACGCTAATGCAGTGATATTTATTTGGCTAGAGGCTCATATGAATTTGTGGCTGTGTCTAACTTGTTATGTTATCTTCTAAATTTGTACATACACACGTAGTATGTATGTATGTATATATGTACACCATATGTACATATATGTAAATACAAATGTAGATGCGTTCATATGCTACAAACATATGTATGTACATACATACATACTCACATGAGTACTTTTGCTCTTGTGCTTTTGGGTTGCTAGTTTTGTTATACTAAGTAAGTATGTATGTAGGTATTTTTCCTCGCTACTTTTAATTTGCTACTTTACTTCTTGCTTTGCCTCATGCTTCTGGCCTTATTCTCATTCTTGGTAACTTGATTGACTGAAGACTTGGTGGCTAGCTAGTTGGCTGTCTTAATAGTTGGGTTCCTTCCTCCACTTTTGACGTTCTTCCCGTTTTTTTTTGCTGTTTCTAATGTTGGTATATTAGAAAGAAATATGTAGCAGAGTGGAAAAAGAACGGAAGGTATTTCACTTCCACTTCCCCCTTCCTATTTGCGCGCGTACACAAACACACGCTCACTTATGGTAGTATTTACTTATTAAGGTATTTACCACACTTAATTTATTAGATGTCTTAATGTTTAATTCCAAAGGTTTTTCTTGGTTGTACTTGGATAAATTTGTTTTCGTTTTTTTTTTTTTTATATACCATTGTCCCTAGTCACTATGCTTCGTTTGTCCATTAGAGCTTCGTATCTAAATGCTTCTTCCACTACTTCAATATTTGCTTTCGACTTAAATTCCTTTACTCATATTCGATTGCTTTTTGGTGCTTCGTTCGTTTGCGCAGACACCACAAATTCTTGATCTTCTCACATTCGAGATTCGTTAATTACATACATAAATATGTATGTATGTATGTACAAATGCATTTACATACTTATATTTTAGTATTATTAGTGCTCTTGCAAGAAAGTATGAAAAATTTTTCCGACATCTTATATATTTTTCTTATTTTGCAAACATATCTTCTATCTAATATTTTCCTCTGACTTTTAATAAAATGCAAATTCCAGCAGAAATTCTATAATTCGCTCTGGAAGAATTTTCCAACGAAAAACTTTTCCTTACTATTTGCACAAAAAGTGGGTGCACAAAATATGAGGAAACTGTGTAGAGAAAGAAGCAGAAAATGGAAAGAAGTCAAATACAAAAGTCGTTTGCGAAATTTTCACTTTTTTCAATGCACAACTCAATATAATTCACAAAATTTCTAATTACTTCGTTAGTATTTCATTTGAACTTGTATTTGTGCTTAATTTTATAATTATTAGGCTTTGTTTTCCACTATATTTTTAATTTTGAATATGAAATACACGAATTTTCTTCGCGACTAAAGACTTTGGATTTTCAGCGAATGTGGAGCAAAGCGCAATGAATGGAATTGGTATTTCCACTGAATGGAGCTTAATGCAGGTTCGCATGTGGAGCTTTTTTGTAAAGCAAACATCTGACTCCCAAATACCTGTGGTCATAACAATGCGGTGCCACAGTGTTTTTATTATTGCGAGTTTTTGGGGGATCGTTTTGGAAAATAACGCTTTTACTTATTTACATATGTATTACATACATATGTACATTCAAGGCACATATCGTTAAAGCTCTATTTGAAGAATTTAAAACCTTAAAAGAAGCAAACAAATCTTAAATGCAATCAGCAGCCAACATTTGTTATCGCTAATTTTGATTACCAAAAATCTCCTAAAGAATAGCAGGCACCCCTAACACCCACGCAACATTCCCCAATACTGCAGATCCATTTTTAAGGCGAGAATGAAGTGGCAAACTGCCTACAGCAGTGGTGAATAGCAAATTTTTAAAGTTATGTGCTGAACAGTGCTATCTGATTTTATTTTTCAAAAACTGTAAATTCCTAAGAAAACTTTATTTTAACAAAAAAAGGAAGGCTTCAAATACGAAGGCATTTTTGGAATGTAAAGGTTTTAACCGTATGATTGGAATGCAGATGACCCTTTTTATCCAATTAAAAATTCACTTCTAAAAGCCAAAAGAGATATTTTTATTTATTCTTTCAAATATGAACTTTTGACAAAACTGTAATTTGTACTACGAGGTAATTTAAAACAACTGAAGATTGTCCAAATACCACGATTTACAGTTAAAATTTAAGGCATGATGACATTGAAGTGAATACAAATTTATTTTTTTGGCATACAATAAAAATGAAGAAGGAGGCCAAAAAATGTATAGGGGTCTTCATCTAAAGTGATAAACAAAAAAATTGCTTAAATTTATCAGTTTATCCGCATTATTTTAAGAATGCACCTTGGTAAATAATTGCATTATTTTTTATTCATTTAATTGTTTATTATTTAACTTATATGGCTAGTTACTCTTCATTCTCGTCCATTGTGTTCATGTGCTTTTATGTTTTGAATTTTTCTGAAATTTATACATTTATCCACCAAGTCGTTTGATAAAGTGATAAACTTTGGTTAAATAGATCTCCATACAAAGTTAAACCCTTCATTTATCAAAATGATAAATTTATCACTTTATCAAGTTTATCAGGAGTTTATCACTTTGAGGATCCCATATGTATTCGCACTAGGGTGATTGACTCGGTCTATCCAAACTGGTTTCCACCTTTTTTTTT